TGCGACTTCGCAACGAAATTCAACAGCGAGTCGTTGCGAATCGCTAGCGAATCGACGTCGAAAATAGAGCTACATGACCGCCGACTCTTTGCGAAAGAGCAGCGAATTCGCGACTTACGCGACGACTCCGCGCTACCTAGTTGCGATTTCGAGGCGAGGTTTCGTCATGAATTCGATGCGATCTCGCTGCTAACCCGTTACGAATTTCTCGTTACACATTTTTTATGGCCAATTTAAAATATATTTATTAATGGTAACACCAGGAGAACAAACTTAAGTATCACATTGAAATAGTTATTGAAATAGTTATTTTTAAGGAGTGTCACTGTCCAACTGTTGTATTCTCGGGCTGTGAAGGTGTGAAGCTGGGCGCAGCTTTCCTATTAATAGGAAAAAACACATTTAGTATAATTTATCAACACATTTTTCACCATGCTCTCTGCTTAATGAGAATCACTTACATTTTCTTCATATATCTATCAGCTGCCCTCTTCAAAATTTTTGGGAAGGCTTCATCAATAGATTTTCTTGTAAAAGGCACAAGCTTTAGTTGATAGACTTTCTGAAATACACAATTGTCCCGATTAAGGTTTCTTACATACATGAACATAAATACTGAAACAAGGATTTACCAAATATAGCTTGATTAAGTTGAGGATAAATTAAAAATGATTTTTCCCACTTCGTCCCTGGTAACTGGGTCGCGAAAGTAATTCATCCGAACATAAGTATCTTGCCATTAATTCCAAGCACTCTTCTAAGTTATCTCCTCCACATCCCAAAAACACATTATTCTGTATGGAAATAAAAAATTACAACTTTGAACTTTTGGAGATTAAAGAAATAACAAATACATAGTTCAAGTAAATACCAAACTATCCTGGGTAGCCAGGGTCCGAAGAGGAAAAAATTGCTCAGGGAATGAAAATAATAGATCTTCTATTTCAGGGAGGTCGTTGCCGCGAGTGTTCAGCAAATTAAGGATGTTATTCAGCCGACGTCCGTGTTCATTTGGGGTCACCGTTGAGCCAAAATTTCTCTCATAATTTCTACAATAGTGCATAGAATATATATTACAAAAGCCTTGATTATCAATCATAAAGCTTAAAATTCTTAGCCGTGCAGTATTTAATACTATTATTACTACCAGGGATACTATTTGTAGTACTCGGTGTGATGCCTTGGGTCTGTCCTTCTGGCGACACCAAGATTAAATTGCCATCATATCCAGATAGAATAAAGTAGGTCGTCCCTTCGTTATCATTGTCTTGTCCCAACGCCGAAATAATTTATGGAGGATTAGTAGTTGGGGGAACTGATAAAATAGCTGGCAGCGTGGACGAGGACATTTTACTTCTAGTGCCGCTGTGGATCTCAGAATCACTTAACTTGTTGCCAGTTATCGCCCTTGGAAGTTTCTCCGCTGCTGTTGCCTCGTAGGACTCTGCAACGTATTCGTGTTTTAATCGAGGAGAGTAATTACCAAACTAGCGTGTAAAATTAAGTTTAAGCTATACTTGCCAAAATATTTCAGTACCGCTGCTTCATATACTGCCCAGTGATTTAATGGTGCACCGCTTCTCTTTTTTATTTTCTTCACCCCTTTCTCTCCTGTTGGTGGAAACTGGCAATGTGTCGCCTGGTAGTTCAGCCAGCTCGTTGGAACAATTTCCACCGTGTCGTCGGAAGGAAAGTGGACAATGGCATGGGTTGAATTTGACTGGTCCATTTTCAATCCGAGTGAATTAATGGGAATACTACAAATCTCCGAATTTTACTGAGGGGAACACATACACATTTATGGGCCACTTCGGAAATTGGGACGCAAAGTTCAATGGCGTCTAATTTCTTTAAGTTCACTCTGAAAACTAAAACATAATTGGAGTCATAAGGATACTCAAAATATTTTCTGGGAGAGGGCACAATTTCCAGTAAGATATATTGCATCTGATTCGTTCACAATTTTGCTAACGACCAAGATTTTTTCACATTTAAGGAGCACAATATTATTGGTTAACTTTACACTGATTTTGCATTTTTTAAGTTAATTTCTTTAGCATGGTAATTTAAACTTGCAGAAATGTTACTCGCGGAATTTGAAGTTTCTAAAATAAAATTTTGTTCGGATAGTCTTTTATGATGGAGAGGAAACTTTGAACTTTTAATTAAACTTTAATTTGCCCGATGTAATTCTCAAAACTAAATGCGCTGAACTGGCCTAACGATCCGTGATTTTTTACGTCTGCCGCCAGAATTAATCCGTATACATTGTAAGACACGTTCTCTCGCCCGTATAATTCTGATGCTGGAGGCGAAGCGAAGTCGTTGTGATTTCGCTAAGAAATCGCAGCTCGATTGGTTGACTTAATTGTTGCTCGGAAGTCGCTGAGAATTCGCTCCGAATTCGAGGAGCTTTTTCTCTCATCGAAAATACAGCGAATTTTTCTTCACGAATTCGTAGCGAAAGTTCGTAGGTCTTTCGCTGTTACTTATTTCGCTGCGATTTCGGGCAGAGTTCTACGTGAAGTAGTCCTCGAAATCGTGGCGAATCTTCGATGCAGCGAATTCGATCTCAATTCGCTGTGTTCGCAGAGATTTCGACCATCGAATTGTTTACTGGGTTTTTTGGTCCTTAACGTTCTTTGGGAGACTTTGCTTATTTTTTTTCATAATCCTCAGTTTATGAACTTAAATGTTGTGGAACAAAGATTTTGAAAATAACACTACCAGAGCAGCGCCACGAATTTACGTGGAAGCGTTAGTGCTGAAAAGTGTTTTTACGTCTTTTGAGTTTTGACCGGTGGATATGAAAAGAGGTGGCCTGTAAATTTTTAAAAAGTGCACTTTTTGGCATCCTCATAGCTCGAAATATAAAGGTTAGTTGCCGTTTTGTGACATCTTTCCGCGTTGAAGTACTGCCACGTCTTGTTCGAGCACGTCAAGCGACAATTTAGTTGTTGTGAAAAACTCGATTCACGAGTTTTTTCACTTTGACCCCGATTTCTATTGAATTTCGCCTTTTTAATAAAAAATGCTTTACACCTGCTGGAAGCCCTTGAAATTGCGTTTCAAAAAACTAAGATAGCTAAGCAATAATCTCCACTAATTGCGCAGTGTAATATATGATCCAACTGTCTAACCAAACCTGGGACATGCCTTAGAAGGATTATGAAATGTTTTATCGTGTCAATTACAAACGAATCATGTCTAGCGGGGTAAATGTTTGTCTCTTGCAGATTCTTGCGGATGATTAAAATTCGTTCGAATTAGGGCATTTCTCTTAACTGAGTTACTTAGCCCATGGAAATTTAAACAAAATATTTTAAGTGACATTTAAAATTGAATGAAGCTTGAGAGAAAAAACATTTCCTTAATTGTGATATTTCTGTATCAGAAACTATATTTCGCTTACAAAAATCTGTAAACTCAAAATTTCAGAAATCTTCATCAGTCTCCATCCTGATGTTTGCTAGTTAATTGATTAATAAAGCATTGCACTTATCCAAGAACTTCATTCATTTCGTTTTTTACCGAGTGAAAAGAGATTCAGGTACCGTTTCAAAGAAATATAAGATGTAATTATGCATACTCTGCAAATGCTCTGCAAATACATACTCCTAGATACTCCTAAAGACTCCTAGATACTCCTAAAGCAATAAAATATAACATGTACATATAACCTGACCGGCACATTAATAACGAATATTAGGGTTTGGTAATCTTATGCTAGTGAAATGTTCACTACTCAGAAACAAACTGCACAAAACTGATAGGATGTTATTATTTAATCGAAACCAGTACGGAGCGTGTACACACATATACCATACATATGTATATGTAACTCTACCAGATTGTTAAGGGCGTACATACCTCATCGAAGTCCATTGTTGGCAAGTATGGAAGTTTCCTACTGAGAAGTAGAAAAATTATGTTAAGTAGGATTATGTATCTAAACTTTCTGTTCACATATTTAATTCGACATGATTCAAAATGCCATTAGACAATAATGGTGTTATGCAAAAAATATGCAATTTCATCAGGGACGGTACATACTATGCCTGGAATTTATTTCCCCACCAAACGGCAATTTGAGGAGAATACTTTGAAAAAATACAGAAAAGGTTTCGATAGGGGCAGAAAGTAGGAAGGAAAGTAATATAAAAATTATTACCATTGAAATATTAGAAATGAAGGGAAATATTAATAATATCAATAAATTTACTTCATATCGACCTTCGCAAGTTACAATCATAATTTTTTATACATGGTAGTCATAGAAACCAAATAATGAAATAAGTGACTTCAATATTGATAACCTGTAGCAAAAAAATGGGATTTTCCCTGGTTTCAGCGAACATTTTAAAAATTAGTGGGAGAACATTTCCAAATTCAGGTAAGAAATTCCAAGTATGTATGCTACATACATATTTACATACACGTCAATGAGTACGTGTGAAGTTAGGACGCTGTGCTTATTAATTTCAGGTCTTATCTTATCTTAAGTATGTAAGTAGCTCTCGTCCAGCATACTTATGCCAGTTTTTTTGCTTATCCCATTCAATGGGAAAATATCTCACGGAAATGTATTATGAGATATCCATTATGATAAGCCAACATAATATTAAATAGTACATTGTTACATATGTAGATATGTATATAGGTATTTATTAAGTTCGATTGATGTGGCCTCGGCCTTTACAATCATAAAGATTTCATTCTGAAATATAATTAAAGTAATTATACAACATAATAAGAGCACAATTATCTAACCGATACCTTCGGTACCTGAATATCTGAACAATTTTGTTTTCCTCCTTCCTTACATATATATGTAGACACACATATATAATAATAATAATAATGAGGAGGATTTATTCGTTCGAATTAATCCAAACGATTACATTTTAAAAATAAGATCAAACCCTATCAAATGGGAAATCCTTAACCTTATGAATTTCCACAATATTTCATGCTTTATAATTCATAAGATTTCGTATTACATATGTATATAACCCGCAGTTTGTGCTTGACCATTCAATTCGCATCATACATATTTCAGGTTGATTTCACCAAAGGTATAATTACAGTAAGCAGTTTGTAATAATGCAGATTTCCTTTAAAACTATTGAAAAATTTCCAACTTTTAGAGCAAAAATGGCTCCCAAAATCCCCTCTGAAGATATTCAGTCCTCTTCGAAAAAAACTGGAAGCCAATATTTCCAGGAATTGCTCCAACAAGGTTCGGTAACGGATGGACTCAACTCGGCTTTAATGGCAATACACGAAATTCCATGGATAGATTACGACCTCCTAGAAAAGGGAAGGGCCTTCGTGAAACGAAACTATGCCGTGGTCGCGACCACAATTATGTTCACGACGACGACAGGGTTCGTCTTAAAACAAGCGGCATCCACCGTTTTCAAGACCTTTTATCCCAACAATACCTGCGGAGCGAGATTCCTTTCTACCTTTCGAACCACGATGTGCCACTGGCTTTCGTCCGATTTAATGAGCGGAGCTACTAATTCCGAATTTGTCCAGGCCATTCGACGTGTCCGGAAGATGCACAAGATGGTGGGTCACCACTCCTCCTTGAAAAAACCGACGGTGCCACCTGATGGGATCAAGTACCCGGCAGAGTATACGGAACTTCTTGCGTGTATCAGAGAAGACTTAAAATCTGTGGACACCAAGGACTACCCAGGTCACCTGATATCTTGGACGCCATCAATGTATTTTACCCAGCTGGACATGACCATGGTCGCTTTTGGTATGTGTTTTCACCCACACCTGTTCACTCTTTCAATCAATCCATTGATTATTATGGTGAATTATGTATTGTGAATGAAAGTGAGTTTCTAGTGATTTTAATTAAAATTGATTTTCAGTTATTTGAATGAAAATGAATTTCCAGTTATTTGAATTAAAATGAATTTCCAGTTATTTCAATGAGAAGGAATTTTCAGTCATTGTAGTAAAAATGACCAAAGGATTCAGTCATTTTAGAATTACATACTTTGAATAAAAGGATTTTTGACTCTTTTCATGTTTCACCTTGTGCTTCATATGTGCTAGGCGAAGTAAGAAATGAATTCCGATGAAGTGAAATGAAAGAAAATGATTGAATGTGATAAAAATCTTAAGTCATAAATTGGGATGACTGCAAAATTTTGAAATGAATAAAAACTAAATTTTCGAACAGGTATGTTTGCACCGTTCATCGTGTACCCAAACAAGATCGGACTTTACACCACGTTCGAGGAAGACGAGGGACTTCGAGGGTACATCCACATTTGGGCAGTGATCGGTAAAATGTTAGGAGTTGAGGACCGGTACAACTTAGCTCTTCACCCCGATCGAGATTTGTATTCGGAAGTTTTTATGAAATTAATAATTGCAAGTTTGAAAATGGCGGATGAATCTGTAATTTTTTGCGCTGAAAAAATGATGGAAGGTGTTATAAACAATACGGTCCCGTACTGTTTAACGGCAAAGTCAATGATTTATCAGGCCATGGAATTGTCAGATTTTAAGGGGGAGAAAGTCTGGGGGATGATGAATTGGCATGATAAGGCGACTTACTATAATAGCAAATTTTGGATTTATTGTTTGAGATTCAGCTTGGTGAGGATTTCATTTAATTATTTACTTTGGGGTGTGTCAATTGTTTATATTAAGCTATTCTTTAAGGAAAATAAGAGGAAATAACTTATCTGCATGGATGGGGGGGGGAGGGTTCATGTTTGAACTATGAAACTGTTATCCCACAAATTGTCGATGGATAAAATTTGGTCTAAATAAATCATATTCGACATTCAAATTATTATTTTTTTAATTTGTAAGTACATATTTGCACGTAAATATGTACATAGGCTTATCGCTTAGCCCAACTGCTTGTCGTGTCCACGGTACGCATGTTTTTTTAAGAATCAACTAGGACGCTATATAGATGAAGAATTCATTCATATTTCCCTGTAAAACGCATATTCAGCGCCGCGCCGTGGCGCCAAACTTAAAAATTTAGATTTTCGCCGAATTTCAAACTTCTATAAGTTTTGCTGTTTACGTCACATTATGGAAATTGTATGCTTAAAATGATCACAAAAGTGGAAAATTTAGGGAAAAAATTATTATTTTTGAGAAATTTTTCGACCAATTTCTAAGAAAATTACGAAATTTTGGAAAAACTTAAAAACGGAAATTTTTTGAAGAATTGCTTGACATATGAAAGTTGAACTCTTTGTCATAATCTTTGTCAAAAATTTTGAAAATCTGCCCAGGATTTCAAAAGTTATCGCGGTTAAAAAGTAATCACATTAAAAGTTGGCGAATGTGGCCCCACGTCACTCCAAATATGAGTTTGACACGGAAATATAAATGAATCTTTCATCTTGGGTCCTAGTAGATTTTAAAAATCTACTACGACCGGATAGGATCGATACCATCGATACGATATCGGCGTAGTAATGTGGTGGTAAAGAAATATTTATCACTTAGAATCAAGCCATGTATTTATAACCAATCCGGTAAGGAATTATTACCAAATCTATACCAAATCCTTATTGAAAAACTGGTTCTTTAGATCTGCAACTCTCACTATCTCCTTTTCGTAGTTGTGTTAGTGATCAATGATCACTATGTCAAAAAGGCAACTCTTATAATTCTTACAACTCTTATCACCCAATAACCGGTTAGACATATAAGTAGACTAAATAGGTATACGTATGGTATATAAGTAAGAACAAGAGTGACCATCGACAGCGAGTCGACTGCCTGTATCTTGATACGTGCAATAAAACCTGTCCTGACTTTGTCTCACCAAATCTCACCTTGCCTCCAAGACGCAATTTATTTCCATGTACAACAACGACGACGATCGTCTCATCTGCCTCACCACCACCATCAATGCAGTGAACCCCCCCCATAAACGGAACTTCACAAGTCTTTGCCCAAAAATATGCTTTTTGCATTCCCTTACTCTCTTCTTATGAGCTCAAGAGAATTCTAAATTTGCTACAATTTGAGGTGTACGTACATATCGACATATGTAATTATGCAGTTTAATCAATTATCTCCTTAAAATTTGCAGATCGCCTCATATGTACATACATCCCAGGCTGCACAATCACGAGATTATCACCAATTTTTAACGAATCTGGCGACCCCAGTTTTCGTGTTAGCAACGTGGGAGAATGGTATAGATTTGGTGCTCAACTGGGTGCAAGTGTCGCGATTTTTAACGTATCTTATTCGTTCTAAACACGTGTTGAAGGAACGAGTTTCGCGACCAAATCACGAGAATAACCCCAAAAAAACACGTATTAAAAAGTGAAATTATACGTTCAGAACACGAGATTTATTTGCAAATTAGATGCGGGAATTATGATTTATTACTGACCATTAACATTACATAAAGGTTTAAATCCAAATAACAATAAAAAATTGTGAAAAAAATCAATTGTCTGATTCTGGTCCAGTATTTCTTAATGGAAGAGCTGCATTGGACTTCTCCAACTTTTTCCTAATTAAATAAAGTAAAAATTATGAAAGTTTTATAAATAGGTACAAATAATATTGCATTTTGTCCTACCTATCCGATTCAATACGCTTGTTGGAATTTTTGAGCCAATTTTTAATTGCTTCCCAAATCTCGTCGTCGTCAGCGTTGCCCAAGTTTTCCAGTCCTTGAATTGCCTCTGAAAACACAGCAATTTCATTGGTGAATTTAATTTAAAGGAGCGCATTATATATTTAATTAATTCACATACAACTAATTTACCATATATAATGTGCTTCATCCATGATTTTGAAAAAGGTGACTTCGGTCCTCTTGAACCAATCCAGTTGTATGACGATGCATACTTATCTGTCAGCAACTTGGCTAGTATCCGCTGTGTAGCAATCTTTACATCCTTGGTCGCACGTATGCCTTTCTGCAGTTCTGTATTCTGTCAAAGTTGCAACAATTAATATATGCATAGTTAAAAATAGCAACATGAATAATACTTATATAAATACTTATATTATTACTTATATTATAATACTTATATTACGCCACATGGTAATTCGCAATATTATTTGATAAATATTTTACCAATGTGATTCTTGATGCCTTGGCGAAATCCTCGAGTTTCTTCAAGTCAGACTCATCATCCACTGGTAATAAACCCACTGGAAACTTTTCGTTTCGACCACCCGTCTTGGTCCCCCAATTGTAATTGCTCACTAAAACGTCTACGCTTTCCTGTAGTTGTCGCAGTTGGGCTTTCATCACATTCATTTGACGTACCATCCACTTTTGGAATTCTGTAAAATACAAGTTATTTATTACTGAGACATTACATAAATTGTCACACACCTACCTAAATTTCCTGCGTTTGGTGACGTGCCATTATCTCTGCCGAAAGTTGTATCAATGTCCTCTGCCTGAGGAATCGAACGGCTTTCCAATTCGTGAGAGCTAGATAAAACTTGCTCGCTAGAGAGTGTGCCTTGGTATTGCTGTGAATTAGTTGGCGATGGGGGGTCACTCGGTCCTGGTAAACTTGATTCGTGGCCGTCTTCCTTTTCTGATTGCAAGCCCTCTCCCACTAAACCTGGATAAACAGTATTATTTATTATACTACTTTTTTGGTGCAATGGAATATAAAAAATGCGCGATTTTAACTTACTAAAATATTGTGGTGGTGGCGGTATTGTCTTCGTGGGAATAGAACGATTTTGCTTCATTTTGGGCGGTTCTTCTTCACTATCGGAGTCGCCGGGCGGTGGTAGATGAACAGTTTTCTTGTGTCGTTGCCCTCGACCAGTTACTTCCAAGTCGCTCTCAAATTCCGAATCAGTTTCTTCCAATGCTTTTCCAACATTATTTTTTGCTTGATTATAAGAACCTTAACAAACAAATAAACAGCATTTTTCTTTCTTATAAATAACTTTATCAATGTATGCAATAAAAAAGACTCACCAAATATTTTGCCTCCGCCTAAAACTTTTACGTCAAACGATAACCAAACTTGCTGATTTGGCGTGTCCCCATTCATGACGGCCTTCGATTGGCGTTCTGAAGATTTGTACGGCGGCCACCAACATTTATTTTTACTTGCTGACAGCCAATTGATTGGGATAATTTCTACCTCGTCAGTTTCAACAAAATGAACTATAGAGTACGGCATTGTAAAAAGTCACTGAATTTCACTGTGAATCAAGGGATAGCATATAAATTCAGTCTCAAATGGAAGTACTACACATTTTGATTCGATTAAATTAATATTAAATCTTCGTACTGCACTCAAGTCGGAGATAAGTTGAACACCAATTAAAGAAGAAGGACAAGGAGATTGAAAAAAATCTTCACGTTTTTTAAACTTCTGTCCAAATAATTCTGAAGGTGATCCTCTAACAAAATGGTGAATTTTAATTATAGTTCCATCTTTTAGTTTGCAAAAATTGTTCCCTAATTTGTTGGATAATTCGAAATTTGCAAACTTACACACTTTGAAACACTCGGGTGAATTAATGTCGACTTGGAAAAACGATACTTGACAAACTGGCTGCTTGAAAGAGGACAGGTCTATTTTTTCTCTTTCAACTAACCGCCGGTAAACTTGTTGCAAGGGGAGAGATGGAGATCTCACCAATCTCTTTATTTGTTGTAACTTATTTTCAAACGGGAAAGCACTAAATTGGTCAAGGGGACCGTGTCGAATGCAATCCCGGGATAAATGTAGTAAATTATGAAGATTATGACTGTTATACTTTTTCCCATATAATTCACCAAAGTTATTAACGAAATATATTAGTAGCTCTTGTGCATAATTATTTTTATTCAGATAAGTGTTAGGATTTGCAAGAATCGTGATGGCTACGTGGAAACACAAAAAATGCTGGTAAAATTGAGGAGCAAGGATTTTCTTCAAAACTGTGGGGCCAGTATATAAGATAAACTGTCTGTATTCAGTTGCTTTCCAGTGTTCGAGATCTCTAATTGGACGTGGTTTTCTTGAAAATTCTTTTGGTATTGAGGTTTTGATTTTTAGCAAATTAGTGGATAATTGGTCAACTTGGTAAGGACGCAGACGACCTGGACATTTTTTTCCTTTCACCCATAAAAATAGTAATTTTCTGGTCACTCCCAGGCACACAAGATGCATAAAATCGACTGGCACATCTTCTACTAAATCAATGGGTAGTAATTCTATTATTGAGGCTTGATTATGATGTGCTGTATCTAATTTTGATCGGAAATTTTCGTTATTTCTTAAATTATAATTTCCTGGTGGAAAGGTAACTCTATTATCCAAATATTCACCCTTTATGTCACACTTTCCACAAGAACTATAACCATTATGACACTTTGTCCCCAAAATAAATGATCTTGCTGGGACGTCACACACAATTGCAGATATTTTAAGTTTTAAATTCGAAGATTGCTCTATGGTGTTGAATTCGTTGACAAACTGTCTCAAAAAATTATTAATATTTGTAGGTTTTCCAAAACCAGAATAAATTCCAATTACAACGACCTGATTATATTCTACAATTTTCGCTAAAATGGGCCAGAATTGTCTTGTGCTGCTTTTATAGAGGGGGATTCCGTCAATATTAATTTGAATTTTAATATAGTCTGCTGTTGGAACTTGAATTAACTTTTCGACGGATGAAATCCACTCAAAATGTACGTATTCGCCAGGCTCCACCTTTTCAATTGTAGTCGATCTTGGAGTGCATAAAAGTGTTCTAGGATCTTTCGGTAAATCAAAATTAGGATGTCGATTCAAAATTTCCAGCAGATCTCCTAAAGCAGAGAATGTAATGTTATGCTTTAGTGCCCACCCCCTTAAATCACTTGCACTACTTTCCGTATTAGACTGTTCAGAATCACTATCACTTAGATTTGACTGCGTGGATAAATTATTGTCAGAATAATCCGAGATGTCATCTGCTTCAAAAATCAAATATTCGGGTGATGGTGAACTCTGTGTGTGTGCCTCTGGCAAGGATGACGAGGGCAGCGGTATTATTTTTTCTGCACTTTCTGAAATTAATGCAAAATCCGAATTTCCTTGCCTTACTTTTCGGAATATTTTTCTTGATCGTGCTTTCTCCATTACTCATCTCGAACTAAAGAATTGTCCCTCTTTCTTTACAACGGAGAGAGCAGCATTTAGGTTTCTGTGACCAACAACACTAGAAATTCTCGTGAATTTCTGGTGTTCGAAAACACGAGTTTCGGGTTGTTGTAATTCTCGGGTTGTACATGTGTTATGAACGAGAAAATTGGTGATAAAGAATCCGTTTGAAAGTCGTTTTTGTAATACGTGTTACGAACGTGTTTAAAAAAATATTTACACGAATAATGCCCCAAACACGAAATTGACACCGGGGACACCAATAATACATGTGATTTTCTCGGTTGGTGCAGCCTGGGATGTATTAAGCATATAATATATGCTCATTATTAAATGCCAAATATTGCCTAAGCAAATCAACCCATTCACATCTCATCTTCAGTTTGTCTCATTCCACAAAGTGAAGAAGAGTATGTACATGTATGAATGAGATGTCCTCGTACATATGCATGTACCGAATATTAATGTAACCTACATCCGCACTACATATTACATATGCTAATATTTTGTGTACATTATAACTGTACACTCTTAGAAATGGGATTACTATTATGTGTAACCAAAAAGTAAACGTATGTGACTCTACCCCCGTGGTGATGAATTTGTCACCAACTGATTTAAGTTAATTAGCTCTGGTGACAATTTCATACCAAGTAGCTGAGACTTTATAATTACTCTGTGACAATTGTAATCACTCGATGATAAATTTATAACCACGGCGGGTGAGTCACATACATTTACTTTTTGGTTATAATCGTAACCCCGTTTCTAAGAGTGTACATATGTGCAACAATTTCATCTATGTATGCATCTCCACATTGAAAGTCGATAGTTTTGATAGTTTCTATATTTCTGTCGAACCAGTTATTCCCTACTGGATAATACAGTGTGGAGAACACATGCTCAAAGATATTATAAACATCGTAAACCCGATTAAGATTCAACATCGGAAAATTTGTCTGACCAGTTGAGCACAGTAAACACTGCGTAGCTATTAATTTACATGTGTATACTCTCCAACCCCACATTAACATATGTATGCTGTAAATAATTACATACATACCATCAAATGATGACTGAATGGCATGACAACCTGGATAGGCAACTGAATGGTTTGATTTGGTTGCTGATGTGTTACGATACCCAGTTTCAACTCATATAAATACACATGTCTAAATATGTTCATACATATTTCTTAATCGTATAATGGGGCAGATATTAAGTTTAAGTAGCGAATTACACGTGGTTGATATGCATATTTAGTCAATAAAGTGCGACATGAAAGAAAGTGTACTGCAGATTAAGTGCAAGTTTTAAATATAAACGGGTGCGCTCCTTGGATCAGTGTTAATTGATTAAGTGTGCAGGGGCATAACGGTAAGCACCTTCGTATGTATTCTGAAGAAAGTAGCGTACTCAATTTTTCACCATCATATAGTACATAGAGCAAATCTTATATGAACCCGATCACTAGGGCGTTTAATAGCGGAGTCGTCAACAATAGGTTTAGAAATCTGAAATTCATGAAAAATATGCCAAATATATCTGACCACGTCTCCACAAAATTTCATAAGTTTTCATGGGCAAATAAATTTCCTATCCCACTTCAAAATGAGGAAATCGGGAAACGCGTTTTTGTAAGTACCAAAATCTGAGCGAATAGGCCTCCTAGAAGGTTGATTACATTTCAACTTACAAAGGTGTGGGCGTGCAAAAATCAGGACTTACATAAAAAAGTATGGAGAATCCGAAAATGACAACTTCAAAAAAGCACCGTGTGAAACAACCATCATATCGACCCACGAACGTTAAAAACGATTAAATTTATTTTTGGAAACTGTCGCTCCACGTCCGTGGCTGATGCGACCATGAAGTCAAAGATCAATACAAACTACTTGTATCACATTAAAGCCCATAACTTGTAGGTCAAAGTGTATGCAAAAATGTCTGCACCATAATATTTGGGAAGTCAAGAAAAATGGTAAACACAAGACCTCCCTAGCTTTGCACCAAAATTTTACCAAAACAGTTGGTAATTGGCGATGTGTCGTACGTTTTCAAAAACGTGACAGAATCTCCGGGAAGGCAATTTTTTCATGGAAAATATGTCCATCAACTAAAAGGAGTATCAAAAACTACAGAATGCAATTTTTTGACCCGACCTTGGCCCAATCCACAGTGCAACAACTATCAAGGGAGAAATCGAAAAAAAATCAGTTTGACGTCGAAGAATGGAAACCCCACATACATCACTCATCTTCCCTGAATAAAGACACGCAGGCTGTGTGTAAGAAGGCATACCACTAGCTCTATGAAACAATCAATACTTAGAGAAAATTTTGGTTACGGAGGGAGAAAATTAACAATGAAGTTGCGAAGTCTTCCGGAAAAGCATTAATGGCGGGCGCGACGAAAAACACTAAATACGAGGTGGATAATGGATTGAAGTCCTATTTGTTCGCGGATATGTGACGTCAGATATATTTAGCATATTATACCAAAATTTGAGATTTGAAGAATAATTTTTGGCAATTTTGAGGCCGATTTTCCAAGTGATCGAGTTCATATAAGATTTGCTCTACCTGCCGAATTTACATCCAACTAATCGACATCATGACACACAAATAAATATGAATTTTCTGTTTTAATATTCATTTGCAAAAATATGGGCACTGGATGGTCACATTTATACTTCACGATTTCTCGATAATTTTCCTACCCTTCCATGCTACATACATTAGGGGGAAGGAAAATTACTTTAAAACCATGACGAGTAAACGAACTTATGTCTCCTGTTTGCACCTATTTGGTTTGATTTTTCTAAATGTATGATGTACAAAGGCCTACATGCGCACATTACATATGGTTTCGTTCCTTTATCAAAATTAGCGACATGGTCTGATCCAAACAAAAATTCTGAATTACCAACGGGGTCCCTCTGTCGATAAAATTTGGGCCAAATTTGATCTTTAACATTCCACATGATTTCAATTGCTTGCGTATCATGGATCGTTTCCCATTCTGCAATGTCGTCATGTCTAGTTTCTTAAGAACCTTGGCAGACGAATTAAAGACCCACGATGCCAGTGTGAATATGAGTATATTCCCTACTGTGGCGTCGGCCATGATCATGGGGAATATGACAAAGACTGGCATCGAAATTTCGTCATGCAAAGTAATGCTTACATATTGCACAACTATTTGCAGTAACGGCCAGGGCCGTAGGAGCACTGGTTTTAGGTGGAGAGCACTCTCCAGGCCGGACGGCCTGAAGGGCCGTACCGGCCGGGTGAGGCAGACACTAGATATAATTGATCTCGAAGTACAAGCCCTATTACTTATACATAATGCTCCCAACCAACGTTAACATACTTATAAATAGAATATTGGTAACTCGATTTTATTTTATTTCTGAAAAGCTTCAATTATCTCACAATAGGATACAATATTCAAATTTAAGCCTTCTGGGACAATTTCTGCAAATCGGTTGAGGTAGCAGAATACATTCCTGTCAGTTGAAAAAATTTTAAGTTTGACTTAATGAATCTATCAAATAACTACTCCTAGATATGCTTATAACCGCCATGCATGGCCCTATCAATCGAGCATCAAGAAATTGAACAGCCTATCTATGTGGGTCCGATCATGACACATAAATTACAGTCTGCCATGACTACTTAGAATATTGTATATTAAGCACTTAACCCATATCATTAAATACATGATCCTTCACCAAAATTTTTTTGGTATAACCAACCTTTTATAGCAATGCCCAGATACATTGTTTTCTCCAATTTCGTAAAAACCTATGAATGCGTTCTAACATTTCCGCTCGAACACACTGAGACGCATGTTTTCCCTGTTTTCTAGGAGCTGTAATGCACGAAAGTGGTGTGTTATAAATGCTAATTCGCATCTATCTTGATAAGAAATAGGCACATAGAAATTGGATTTTGATTTCAACAATAACCAAAATTCAGAACTGGAAATAATCCGGATTACCCAATGTTAAAGATAGAGGGATGGGTTATGGACTGGGACTGACCATTTAAGCACATTGATTAAGCCGGATTATTTCCCAACTCTGCCAAAATTATCTTAATGCAACTCATTCGATAATTTCTGTTTCGTGGAATTTGTAAATCAAGTCTAATTTCTACCGACTGTGACACCCAAACTCGGGACATTTTGAAAAGCCGGTTTGTGCTAAATCAGATTTTTGGCAAATTTTAGTAACCCGGTTTTCTATACTATGCAGAATGGTTTTACACCGTTGCTGAAAACTCCGGTATTAGTGTGAATTTAAAAAAAGGTTTGCAAATATAGTAACAAGCTATAATTTAATCCAAAATCAAAATTAAATTTGTCCAGACATTAAGAATATTTATGGTTAGATAGATCTTCAATTTTGAAAAAAATGTGGTCAAAATCTAAGGTCACAATTTTTTCACCCCATCCCTTAAGAACGCGTAACCCTGTAAAGCACAATCTCAAAATTTTGCTCCATATATGCGTACTGTTATAAAGGGCATCCCATATGTAAAGTGCAGATGGGAAAACGGCCCTCATTTTGTTGTAATTCAATTTTGTTCGAAGAAACTAAATTTACACAAAAGCTTAGGATCTGCATGTGTTAGTTTTATCGTTAAACCAATTTCCTATCCCATTGTAACTTAGAGATATTAGGTTCTTCCGAGCTCCGCCGAAGGGTCGTTTTCACGGTTTTTCCTAAATGTCCTTTGTGATTCTGCTCCAAACTTTCGAAATCTACGAACGATTGCAAACTTTTTCTTTCGTTTAGAACATTGTCTTCGACAATTGGCCCAGAAGTTCTCGATACCACGTGTTTGAGGTACATTTTTAGCGTTGTTTGGTTTTTGTGTATCTCATCCAATGTGTTCGGGGGCATGAATAACCAAGGTTTTCTTTTGAAACATTGTCTTTGGCTTTAGTCTATCTTCGCATTTTGCATCTAGTGGAGTAGTTGCTTGAAAATATGTACGATCGGGAACATGATCAGGGTCAATGCTCACTTAGATTTCATCATAAATAACCACGAGTTTGCTCAACCCTTTTTTGGAAATTTTTCTGCATGCTGTTTTCGCTTGATGGTTCTGGGTCCATACATTTTTTTTTGCCGATTGCTTTACACACCCTTTCATGCCTAAGACGTGAAGTTTAATTCGACATATCGTTGAGTTCGATATCTTTTGTGTTGTGGATACGGCAATCATGGAATTGCGGGACGCTTCTTTGAGAACATCCTAATTTTCTCGACATTTCTTTT